TAGTATAATTCCGTTCTTATATGCATGCTTTCTGAAAAACAAAGTCCTACACACTTTATTTTTAGCTCAGTTGACTTTGATACAAGAACCACTGCTTTAATATTGCCCAGAATTTTAATAATATTCATTCATTCATTCTATATTCTTTTTTGTGAAAGTTGACAAAATTTATTGGTATTTTATGTATGTATTGCACTGGAATGCACTGTTTTGGTTTTTCTTCCACTGCTCAGAGTGGTACAGGATTTAATCAAGTTAAAGTGGTACGTGACACATTCATCGGAGTGTGCATTTGGCGTAGGGCAGGCAGCATAGAGGATCCACAAAATGTGGTCTGTGTACTCAAGGGGTTTGTAATGTGGCAGCAGCACCAAAGATTTGACGGCACTCCTGAAGGACCCAGGTATAGTACTTTGGCCCTTGCCAGGAAATGGAATTCTTACCATGTGCTGTAGCTTATTTGATTAGTTAGTCAACTTTCATCATTTCGTTTTCAAGACTATGGAATACGGTTATGCCCACCAAACTTAAGAAAGTTTAAAAACAAGACAAAATAACTTTCACCTGCTCCCTTTCTTTGGCACGCTGCTTGCTCCAAGCTCTGGGCTCCTGCTAAACCCAGCACCTCCATCATCGCCAGCTGTCACCATCATGCTCATTTCCTGCGACCTCACCAGCCATGATGAGATGTTCTCTGACATGTACAAGCCCTGGGAGATCGTAGACAGGCTGTGCCTGAGGTGGAGGGGAAGATGGTCAGTAGGACAGAGGGTAACATCGACGACTCCCAAAGGCAAAGATAGCGAAAGCGCAGTACTCACTGGTGTTGATATTGCCGAGAACCATTATTTGCAGGCAATTCACAAAAGAAGCCAACAAGCAGTATGTCAAAGATTACATGAAGTCAATCAAAGAGATACTTGAAGAACAGAAACCAGAAAGAGTAAAACTTTTTATGACAGGCTGCAGAACAAATCAAGCACATCCTTTGCTAATTTCAAAACCTACCAGTTCTTTATTGGTGAAAACATGAATCCAGATGGCATGGTTGATCTGCTGGACTACTGTGAGGGTGCTGCAACCCTGTATGTGATCCTAAGGATGGTTTAGAAGTGGAAAAATGTCAACAAGTTTGGCAATTTGGATCTGTCATTTGTTATCATAACTGGCTGTTGCTTTTCATGTACACGTGAGGTGTAGGACATGGGACTGATGTTGTCTTGAGCTCTTCATTTATTTTGACTTTGGTATATTTGGAGACATTGTTTTTAAGAATAACATGTTACGTATGTTGTCTAAAAATAAAATGCATGTAAACTCATTTGAAAAAATAAACAGAGCCCTGGCTGGTGTGGCTCAGTGTTTGAGCACCAGCCTGAGAACTGAAAGGTCACCAGTTCAGTTTCTAGTCAGAGCACATGCCTGGGTTGCAGGCCCAGTGACAGGCAACCAATCTTGTGCATTGATGCCTCTCTCCCTCTCTTTCTCCCTCCCTTCCTCTCTCTAAAAATAAATAAAATCTTTAAAAGATTGATTTTAGAAATAAACAAAATAACTATTATTGAAAATTAACATTTGCATAGTGCTTTACATATTTAATCCTATAAGCTAGATATTAGCTCATTTTTCAGGAAGACATAAAAGTGAAACCATGTGCAAGATTACAAATAATCTAAATATATTTCTTAATTTTTTAATATGTTTAGAATAATAAAAGATGCCACTGATGCTTGTCTTTTGAATCCAAATTCTGTATAACCTTTCTGTTAAATGTATTGTCTCTCCCCTCCCTTTTTTTATTAGTCTTTAGGAAGATCCTATTTTTTAGTTGGGTTAAAGTAAGTGGGTTGGATCTCAATTGTTATTAATTCAGAAAGAAGAATTCTTTGGCATATTTGAAAACATCAATTCACTGTCTATGGAAGCACTAGCGAGGGCTTCTGATAAGTTCAAGTGCTGTCATTAGTATTTTATTTTTACAAATTTTTCATTTTCAGAGTTGTGGGGTTTTAAATCTTTTATTAGGAAATAGTTTATGTATTAAAGACAATACAATGTATATTTAAATGTAAAGAATACTATAAAACAAACAACCCTATAACTACTGGGTTGGCCAAAAAGTTCATTTGTTTTTTTCTGTAAGATGGCTCTAGTAGGTCTTAGTTGTATTTAACTTCATTTGCAACAATTTTGTTAGATTGTATTGTGACAGCTGTCATATCAGCGTGCGTTAAAAAAAAACTTGTGATAATTGGTGAATTTTTGTATAGTCATTTTAATATTGAAGATGGAAGAAAATATGCATTTTTGGCACATTATACTTTATTATTTCAAGAAAGATAAAAATGCAACTGAAACACAAAAAAAGGTAGTGTTGTATATGGAGAAGGTTCCATGACTGATCAAATGTGTCAATAGTGGTTTGCAAAATTTCGTGCTGGAGATTTCTCGCTGGACGATGCTCCACAGTCGGGCAGACCAGTTGAAGCTGATATAGTGATAAAATCGAGGTGTTAATTAAGAACAATCAACATTATACCACATGAGAAATAGCCAACATACTCAAAATATACAAATCAATAAAGTTATTGGTGAAAATAAAAAATATATGTTATTTTACGGAAAAACCATATGGACATTTTGGCCAACCCAGTAACACCCAACCTAACTTATAGAAATTAACCCATGCCTTCTGAGGCTTTCTGCTTGTACTTCCCCCTTAAACAGGAACAACAATATTGAATTTTGCATTGTTCTAAGGTGTCTTGTATGTGTGTGTTTGTTGTTGTTTTAAGGTGTCTGAAAGAAATGTTATTTAGGAATTTAGAATTTCTAAGTGTTGCAAGTAAATTTAACCTTGTTTGATACAACTTACGTAAATAACTTTAAAATTGTATTTTGATATACTTATTTATGTTAAAAATAAAAAAGGGTTTTGTGTTTAACGTCAGTTATTTAAAAGGCCTCATGGTTTTGAAGCTAGAAGCTAGGAAAATTAGTTTCTGAAGTTTCAGAGATCTGGGAGAAGGCATTAATTACTGAGGAAGAGGAAAAAGATTTTATGCAAATCAAAGAAATTTGATTTCATGGTGTAGTTTTTGCTTTTCCTTACTTAAGGAAAAGGAAACAAAGGTGTAGAATCTGAAAACTAGCTGTTTCTTAAATTGTTCTTGGCAGAATTGGTGGGTGGCTAAAAGAATGATTGAAACATGGCTTAAAAGATTTATAAAAACATTTTCTGGAGGTTAGAAGTATTTGTTTTAACCATGTTTTTGAGGGGTGAAGGCTACTTCAGAGGTCATATCCTACATCTCATCTCATTATTGTCCTTATTGCTGAGCCACTGAAACCTGGAATCTGTTTATCCAGTATGACATTAACTTCATTTTTCTTGGTGGAGTTTGTATGTGGTCTCTCATGTTTTAGGAACTGTAATCCTCAAGTTCCTAGTTTTAAGTGGGTAAGAAGAGTTTTAAACAATGCCTGCGGTATAATTTTAGGGACGTAGTCATACATGAGTGCACACACATACACGCACGTGTGCATATTCATAAAGATACCTGACTGGTGATGGCTGCATATAGGGAATATGCATTTAAGTGTCTCAGAGTGTGTGCTCTGGAGCCCAACTCTTCCAAGTTCACATCCTAGATTGGCACCAGCTAGTTCTGTAGTCTTGGCCAAGTTCTTTAAACTTCTTTGTGATGGTTTATCTATCAACTGGGGATAATAAAACATCTACCTTATTGAGTGGTTGGGGGGATTAAATAGGTCAGTATAGAGAAAGTACTTCACAGCGTGGAGTAAGTGCTCCATGAATGTTGGCTATTACTTAAATCTTGTGTAGTGCCTTTTGGTTAGAAACATTCCTCTCTGCTTAGGCTGCCATTTGTGTGTGAGCAGATGTTCTTTCTAGAACCATGCCACCTTGTCACATGATTATGAGCAGTGTGAGCCTTATTACTATTCTGTCAGCGTTTGAGGTTGGAGCGTAAGAGTGTGGCTGTACCCAGCCGAATCCAGCAAGAGAGAGAACTAAGCACCATGGCAACTGTTGCTATTTGTGTCCTGAACAGCAGCTGCTCTGGATAGATTTATTTTTTAATCCTGATCTCACTGATACCCTGGGTTGTGGCCCTGCCTTAGCGAAGTGGGTTGGTCAGGATGTCTGGTCTTTGAGGAGATTTCATGAACACATGTTATAAGGATGCTATTCCATGTGAAATATGAGAGCCAAAGCTTTATGTGTATGAGAAAGGGAGAGGGGCTAAGCCTCAGCATTCAGCCAGTCCCTGAAGTTGCTGTGACTGGATTAATCACACAAGAAAGCTCTGTTCATAGGGCAGCGAGACTTCATGCTTTTCAGTCAGAAAGTAATTTTACTATTTGTAACACTGTGCAAAAGACTTAGTGGTCTGTGATTTCACTGTATACACTCATACACAAATGTACATGCATACGTATATAATAATTTATGTTATTAGTTATCAGTTGTGGATTTCAGAAATAAGACTATCTTTCCAATGAATGCTTCATTACCAAATGCTTTTCTGAAGTAAAAAAGAGCTTTAAAAAGAGTTTGTTTCAACTAGTGGTTAGATTGATCCAGAAACTTAGTAATTTTTATTGCTGATGTGTTGAAATATTTGAAGCCTTATGAAGCACCTTGAAATAATAATGTGGCCCATTTCCAAATTTTGGCTACTATCTTACTTCAGGTGCAGTCATAAAATATGTAATGATCACTTGCTGTGTACCAACCTCTGTTCCGGATCCTGGTGACACTTAGTGAATGCTACTGGGCTGATCTGATTCTTTTCAAATTCTGTATGTAGACCACCTGTTGAAAAGGTGATTATTTTTGGTTTTGATTGCCCTGTTTAGAGTCAGTGGCATGAATTTCGATTTGGATGTTTTGAATTTACCGTCTATAATATCACAGTGAACTAAAGAACATGTAGCGAAGTGACTCATAAAATCAAAACATTTTCATTCTCTAGGTATCGTTAACCCAAAGAACCCAAAGGAAGCTCCGAAGTCCTTCAGCTTCGACTACTCCTACTGGTCTCACACCTCGGTGAGTGTGCTTGTCGTACCGCACAGGGGAACTGGGCGGTATTTGAAGGGTTTTTTGGGTGTGTCTTGAAAGAGCCCGCAGGTCCAACAACGAAAACAGAGGTTACTGACACCTAGGAACATTGAGAGTGGGGCTCTTTGCAGTATCCGTACTCAGTATAAGACCATTCATCTTTCTGGCTTCTCAACCTAAATTAGAGTTTGCCTCTGCATTTCTTTATTAGGTGGGTTTTTCTCCTTCTTTTCTCCCCCTATTTTTTGTTGGAATAAGAGACGTTTTGAACTATTGACAAAGCCTAATTGGCAAGGGAAGGGCCTAGGCAAGGGATTGGAAACATTTTTTTCACTGAAAGCTGTGTTTATTGAAATAAAGCTGCACACCAGTAGCGAGTTCAAAAAGGATCTTTGTGCACTTGGCATTTGACGTCTTAGTCCCGTTTTCCTCTTCAGAAAATTTTCTGTGCATGAAAGAGTGATACTTGTAAGGTCATGGAAAATGAAATGTAATCATAGTTGATAATTTCATGTAGCTATTTTCATGTATGGCTGACCTGGGTAATGGATAACGCTAATAGAGTGTGTGTGTATAAAGTGAGAAAAATGAACTATGTGTAGGGGGTACTTTAAAAATGTTTAATATATTTTAGTTGACTATTCTGAAACACTTGTATTTATTATAGAAATAATCAAATACACATAGGAAAGAATATGAATGAAGTGTCATTTTTTTCTCCTTTTAATCTTTACAGCCGGAAGATCCCTGTTTTGCATCTCAAAGCCGTGTGTACAATGACATTGGAAAGGAAATGCTCTTACATGCCTTTGAGGGATATAATGTCTGTATTTTTGCCTATGGGCAGACTGGTGCTGGGAAGTCTTATACCATGATGGGTAAACAAGAAGAAAGCCAGGCTGGCATCATTCCACAGGTAAGAAACAAACAACGAAAAACCTCTGTTCATCGTTACCCTTAGACTTTAGTGACTTTAACAATTATTTTTATTTAGCAAACATTTATTCAGGGACTGTCATAACACTCACAAAATAAATCACTTGTCCCTTTCCCTCAGAGGAACTAACAGTCTAGTGGATGAGACTGACCTGTGTACATGTCTACTCTAAGTGGGAAAGTCGATGTTTTGTAAAGGCTTTGCTGTGTATCCAGTGTTACGTATGTTATTTTACCTTTTGAACAGCGTTACCAGCTTCTTCTAGAAGATATCGATAATATGTAACAGAGCAGGCTGGGGACACCTAGTGAATATTGTTTGATTTTAAGTTCTGTGTATAGATCACCTCTGAAGAATGTAATTTTTTCCCCTTACCTGAGGACATTTTTTTCATTGCTTTTTAGAGAGAGAAACAGAGAAACATCGATTGTTTGCCTTTTCGTAACTATGCAGTAGTTCTTGAATAAAGTTGTACCCCAACTGGGGATTGACCCTGCAGCCTGGGTGTATGCCCTGACTGGGAATCAAACCTGTGACCTTTTTGTTTCTGGGATGATGCTCCACCCAACTGGGCCACACTGGCCAGGCCTATTTTGATTTTTTTGATTGCCTTATTTAGGGACACTTTCCTTTTATTGTATTAGTTTAATACTATTGTTTTAAGGTTGAACAGTCTTGAGATTTCTTTTTTTAAGAGCAGTTTGTCTTTTGATTTTTTATGTTTTGAGAATGGAGAGGAGTTGTGACGTAGTTATTGAGAAGAAACTTATTTTTAAGTAACAGGAATGTGCCCTGTATGGTGTGGCTCAGTAGATTGAGCGTGGGCCTGCAAACCGACAGGTTGCCGGTTTGATTCCATGTTGGGGCACGTGCCTGGATTTCAAGCCAATTACATGTCTGTCTGTCTTGCACATTGATGTTTCTCTCCCTCTCTTCCTCCCTCTCCCCTTCCCCTCCCTGAAAATAAATAAATGAAATCTTTTAAAAAGTAAATAAATAACAGGAAAGTGATCTGCTTATATTAATGATATTTAGAATTAATATTAAAGAGGGTTTTTTTGGTTTGTTTTTTGCTATGGGCCTAGTGTGACCATTTCTATATTTTGAGAATAAAATACATAAGGGAGCAATAGCCACTTTTTCTAATGGATTATTAGACTATAATTTTGAATTCAGCTATATGATTAAAATGATTACTTATTAACAAAGATTAGAAAATTTTTAGAAAATATTGAACATACTAGCATATATGTTTTTTCTTTAAAAAATATATGTCTGGCTCTCGCTGGAGTGGCTCAGTGAACTGAGCACTAGACTGAGAACCAAAGGGTTGCAGTTCGATTCCCACTCAGGGCACATGCCTGGGTTGCAGGCCAGGTCCCCAGTAGGAGGCGCGTGAGAGGCAACTACACATTGATGTTTCTCTCCCTCTCTTTCTCCCTCCCTTCCCCTTTCTCTAAAAATAAGTAAATAAGTAAATAAAATCTTTAAAAAACAATTATTAAAAAATATATATGTCTGTATTAAGGCATATAGAGTGGGGCAAGAGTAGGTTTACACTGGTTCATATAGAAAATAATGCAATAATCAGACTTTCAGCCAAGATGGAAGCGTAGGTAGACACACTGTGCCTCCTCCCACAACCAAAAGGACAACAACAAATTTAAAAACAAAAAAACAACCAGAACTGACAGAAAATTGAACTGTATAGAAGTCTGACAACCAAGCAGTTAAAGAAGAAACATTCATCTAGACTGGTAGGAGGGGCAGAGATGGGCAGCCGGGATGGAGAGGACTCATGGCCACGGCAAGGCAGCAGCTGGCAGACTGGGCGATCCCACGTTTGCGTGCGGATAAACCGGGAGGAACAACTGGGGAGCAAGACAGACCGTGCAATCCGGGGTTCCAGTAGGGAAATACAGCCTCAAACCTCTGACTGAAAACACCTATGGGGGTTGAGGCTGCAGCGGGAGAAACTCCCAGCTGCACAGGAGAGTTCATTGGAGAGACCCACAGGGTCCTAGAACATATGCAAACCCACCCACCTGGGAATCGGTACCAGAAGGGCCCAATTGTAGGTAACAGGAAGTGATTGAAAACCGGCAGAGAGCAGAGCAAGAGCCATTGTTCCCTCTCGAACCCCTCCCCCACATACAGTGTCACAGTGCATCAAGGTGGGTTACCCTGCCCTGGCAAATAACCCAAGGCTCCACCCCTTACACTGTAACAGGCACTCAGAAACTTAAAAAAAAAAAAATGGCCAAACGAAAGAACAGATCAAAGCTCCAGAAAAAATACAACTAAGTGACGAAGAGATAGCCAACCTATCAGATGTACAGTTCAAAACACTAGTAATCAGGATGCTCACAGAAATGGTTGGATTTGGTCACACAGATGAAAAACTGAAGGCTATGCTAAGTGAAATAAAGGAAAATGTACAGGGAACCAATAGTGATGGGAGGGAAACTGGGACTCAAATCAGTGAGTGGACCAAAAGGAAGAAAGAAATAACCAATCAGAAAAGAATGAAGAAACAAGAATTCAGAAAAATCAGGAGAGGCTTGGGAACCTCCAGGACACCTTTAAATATTACAACATCTGAATTGTAGGGGTACCAGGAGAAAAGGAAGAACAACAAGTGGAAAAGTTACTTAAACAAATAACAAAGGAGAACTTCCCCAATCTGGCAAAGGAAATAGACTTCCAGGAAGTCCAGGAAGCTCAGAGAGTCCCAAAGAAGTTGGACCCAAGGAGGAACACACCAAAGCACATCATCATTCATTACCCAAGATTAGAGTAAGAGAATCTTAAGAGCAGCAAGACAAAAGGAAAGAGTTACTACAAAGGAGTTCCCATCAGACTGTCAGCTGATTTCTTGAAAGAGACGTTGCATGCAAGAAGGGGCTGGAAAGAAGTATTCCAAGTCATGAAAGGCAAGAACCTACATCCAAGATTGCTCTATCCAGCAAAGCTATAATTTAGAATGGAAGGGCAGATAAAGTGCTTCTCAGATAAGGTCAAGTTAAAGGAGTTCATCATCACCAAGCCCTTATTATATGAAATGTTAAAGGGACTTATCTAAGAAAAAAGAAGATAAAAAACATGTACAGTAAAATGACAGCAAACTCACAATTATTAACAACCACACCTAAAACAAAAACAAAAACAAACTAAGCAAACAACTAGAACAGGAACAGAACCACAGATGTGGAGATCACACGGAGGGTTATCAACAGGGGAGTGGGAGGAGGAGAGGGGGAAAAGGTACAGAGAATAAGTAGCATAGCTGGTAGGTAGAAAATAAACAGGGGAGGGGAAAGAATAGTATGGGAAATGTAGAAGCTGAAGAACTTAAGACATATGGACATGAAAGGGGGAATATAGATAAGAGGGGGTGTGCAGAGTGGAGGGGAGTGAAGAGGGAAATGGGACAACTGTAATAGCATAATCAATAAAATATATTTAAAAATAATAAAAAAGGAAATAATGCAATAATTAATAAATAATGATACAAGAATAAACTTATATTTTACGTACTCACAACTGTGAACCTACTTTTGGCCCATGTTGCATATTTGGGATTGTCCTCTGTATGTCGGAACAGCAATAGTTAAAATACTAATATATAAAATATTCTGAAGCACTCCCCATGTGCCACACAGGTCTAAGTGCTTTACAGATACTAGCTCATCTAGTCCTCCTCACGTGTCCCTAAGAGGTGAGTGCTGTTGTTACCCTTATTTTACACATGAGGAGGCTGAGGCACAGAGGTCATGTCGGTTGCCCAAGTGACAGAGCCAGAATCCAATTCAGGCAAGATAGTTCTAGAGTTTCTGCTTTTACTGTGCAGTAGTTCTTGAGCAACAAAATAATTGTGGATTATGCCAAGTTACACTAAATAGTCATTTATCTTATCCCATTACTACACTTAGTTTCTCCTTCCTTTTCCTTTAATTTGTTACTGGAATTCTTGTATACTTACCTATATATCTTTCCTGGTATCTCTTTTCTGGTGGAATTTTAATTTTTTTTACTTTATTTTTTTAAAAGAATTTATTTATTTTGTTTTTTAGAGAGGGGAAGAGAGACAGAGAGGGAGAGAAACAACAATGTGTGGTTGCCTGTCGCATGCCCCCTATTGGGGACCTGGCCTGCCACCCAGGCAAGTGCCCTAGAGTGGGAGTTGAACCAGCGACCCTTTGATTCACAAGCTGGCACTCATCCGCTGAGCCACACCAGCTAGGGCTCCTTTCTGGTAGAATTTTAGAGTATTCTATTTTAATACAAAAGCTTAGAATTTTAAAAAGGTGATTATTATTTAGAAATTGCCATTTATAATAAATTTTAAATTCTATTTAGACTTCAAGAGAATCACAAATAAATAGTTCATTTTCTGAATGTATATTGATTGCCTTAATACTAATATATAGCAAATGAAAATTCAATAGGTTTTTACTATTTTTCATATAACATTTTAAATAAGGGATAGGGACAATGATATCTTACAATTTTTCTCATCTAGAAAAATTAACATTTTCTGTTAGACATGGCACTGTGTAGACCTAACTGGTGTGGCTTAGTGGGTTGGGCGTCATCCTGCAAACCAAAAGGTTGCCAGTTCAATTCCCAGTCAGGGCACATCCCTGGGTTATGGGCCAGGTCCCAGTTGGGGGCGTGTGAGAGGCAACCAGTCAATGTGTTTCTCTGGACATTGATGTTTCTCTCCCTTTCTTTCTCCCTCCCTTTCCCACTCTCTAAAAATAAAGAGATGAAATCTTAAAAAAAAAAAGAAAAGAAAGAAATGTCACCATGTAGTGGATTAGCCTTTCACAAAAGATTTGGGGTCTTAAGACAGGGAGAAGTTAAGAGGAAGTTTTAGAGTCAAAATGATTCTTGAAAATACCTTCCTTTACCCCCTCCAAATAGTATGTATTCTCTCTCTGTATTATGTATGTATAAATTTATTATGTACATAGTAACTGATGATATATGGTAATAAAATTTATATATCATAATAAGTATGTACAAAATATAATAGTTTTACTGCTACAATAGTAATACTGATAGTGGAGTCACAGTTACTCGAGTATAGTATGAAGAGATGAATTCACATGAATTAAATGTGTTAATGATATAACACTGTAAAAGACATAATTTTTCTCCTTTTCCTAATGTGGCTTTCTTTCTAAGGAAATAGTGGTGGAATGCTATTGTTGAGGGATTACATAGATAAGATGTATTTAAAACTGTTCTTTTATTTCACTCAAGGAATTTACCTTTGTTATTGATGCTATTAATATTTTAAGAAATATAGAGAAAAAGGCATATTCTCAATTTGTTTAGTAGTCCTGGGTAACTTACTGCTTCTCTGATATATGCTATTCTGTTTATGTAGTTATGTGAAGAGCTGTTTGAAAAAATCAATGACAACTGTAATGAAGAAATGTCCTACTCTGTAGAGGTGAGTACACCTGCCAGTTACAACCAGAGGCCTCCCTGCTCCATTGCCTCAGATGTTGCTTTTCAGTGACTCCAAATCATTACCGTACTATAGATTGCTTAACCACTCCCCCAGTTTTGTGCTTTTAGGCTATTTCTAAGTTTTGATTATAATGAATAATGTTGCGATTAAATCCTTATTCATAAGTCTGACTTTAATTTTATTTATTTCCTTTGATGTGAGTTGGTTGTCAAACAATATATTTAAATTTTAAAAAGAAGCCCCATCAGGTGGGTGTAAGCACTCATCTGCCTTTATTAACATTCAGTACTTTCGTTTTTAAATTTTTGCCAATTTGATAAGGGGAAATTCCTCACTCTTACTTAAACATGAATTTTTTTTTATTAGTAGTAAGGTTGAACATCTTGTAAATGATACCATTGTCGGTTTACCTGTTGGAATTGCAGTGTTATTCTTACTCATTTGTGTGAACTCTTTCCCTTTAATATTATTAATCATATTTTTGATAGGCATAAGTTTTGCAAACATAGGTAATCAACTCTCTTCTCCCTCCCCCGTCTTCATGGTTGCTTATATCTTGGAAAGTTATTCTCTATCCATTGTATAGCCGAGCTCTTTTAAGAAGAGGGTTACAGCCCTGACCGGTGTGGCTCAGTTGTTTGGTTATCATCCCGAGAAGTGAAAGGTTGCCGGTTTGATTCCCAGTCAGGACACATGACTGGTTGCAGGATCGGTCCCTGGCCTGGGCACGTACAAGAGGCAGTCAGTCGATGTGTTTCCTTTCCTCTCTCCCTTACCCTCTCTTGATTGAATAATTGGTTGATTGATAAGTAAATAAAACCTTAAAAAAAGAAATTGCTATTTCCTTAAAAAAGATTTATAGAATCACTTCATATATATATATTGATAAACATTTCTGCTTTTTTGTATGTTCTTTATGAAGTTATTTTACATGCTCCCCCATTTTTGGTATTTAATTTCATAGCCACTAATAGTATTAAAGCGTTCTGACCCCACGCATCTATGGGCAACTAAGTTTTGATAAAGGAGCCAAAAAACATACAATGGAGAAAGGAAAGTCTCTTCAACATACGGTGTTGGGAAAACAGGAGAGCGAAGTGAGTGACAGCCTAACACATTCCTCCCCATGGTAGGGCAGTCCCGCTGACAGGAGGGGAATTCCTGACGTGTTTAACAGATTGTCTGGGGCTTCTTCCTCTGTAAGACTTGGATGGTTCAGGCCACACAGTCAGGTTCTGTGCTGACCAGCCCTTACCTTTCTGGTAGACACTGTTTTTTTGGTCATAGTAAGTCATACTGTGGTCAGCCTTAAAGTGTTAGAGTTGTCAGTCTCTTTTGTCTTAACTGCTGTGGAATATTGATATTGTTCCTTGGTTTTGACACTAATTGAAATCTTGTTTCCAAGCTTTAGAGTAAGCTCTCAGTAATCCCCAATTATTGAGAACAGTATACATTTAAAATATTGACAACTGTTAAGTTGCTATTAAAGATGCTATTTTTCCTGCCTAAGACAGGTGGCGCCACTGTGGGTTGAGATAGCTTGTTTACCTCCTTTCCCCCGTGAAGTCGGAAGGTTGGTTCCGACCTACGCGGAGATATCTGTGCGCTCTGTTACTAGAGTGAAAGGGACTGGAACTGTGTATGGCTTTCACTTACTAAAGGTGGCTGATCTCTAGTTATAGAGCTTTTAATAAAAGTTATAAAAATCTTTTTTTTACCATTTATTTATTTATTTATTTATTTGTTTTTAGAGAGGGAAGAGGGTGGGGGGCGGGGGGAGAGAGAGCGAGAGAGAGAGAGAGAGAGAGAGAGAGAGAGAGAGATATCAATGTGCGGTTGCTGGGTATCGAACCTGGGACACTTTGGTTCCCAGCCCGCACTCAATCCACCAGGCTACGCCAGCCAGGGCTAAAACTTATAAAAAATCTTAATGTAGGGAATGTTTTCCCTGAGTGCTAATTTGCTAATAATTTGTTTCAAGGTGAGCTACATGGAAATTTACTGTGAAAGAGTGCGAGACTTGCTGAATCCAAAAAACAAGGGTAATTTACGTGTACGCGAACACCCACTTCTTGGCCCATACGTTGAGGATCTGTCAAAGTTGGCAGTCACTTCCTACACAGACATTGCTGACCTCATGGACGCCGGGAACAAAGCCAGGTACGGCAGGGGGTCTTTGGCACACTTTGAGGCCCTTTGTGCCCAGTGGAGGGCTTGAGACCACATGTAGTTCTGAAGGTTGCTGTTACTGTGGAGTCCTCTGATCCCTTGGCTGTGCCGGAGAAGTGAGGGTGTCAGCATATTCAGTATCTATCTTCTTATCAAAACAGTGCACTGCGGAGACACAACAGAACTTTGGTTAAGTTTCACTATTAAGTCGTGGTCACGTTAAAATGTTGCTTATCATGTGCCTGTGGTAGTAGTTGAATCTGGAATAAATGCCTAATAAGGAATAAAAATTAAATGCTTTGGTGGTTACCAAAGGGACAGCTGGAGTATGAAAGATGATTCTGTGGGGGTACCTTGGGGGTTGGAGAGTTGGAAGGTAACTTCATAGGCTCGTGCATAAATAAAGTGTATGGAGAGCAGTTTGTGTGAAGGTCTTGCAGTCTGTGAATGAGAGTTGTTGGTTGTTATTGTTGTGCCTGTAACGTGGAGCCTCCTGTCCCTTTTAACTTCCATCTATGAATTCCTTTGTCACACGGTCACCTTTATGTTTATTTAGGACAGTGGCAGCTACCAACATGAATGAAACAAGTAGCCGTTCCCACGCTGTGTTTACAATTGTTTTCACCCAGAAGAAACATGATACTGAGACCAACCTCTCCACTGAGAAGGTAAGAGAACTTCGGTCTCGGGGCTTGAGTTGTGTAGAATGGGGATTTTCAGAAGTCTCTTTTGCTACCCTCTGCATTTTGTGGAGGGGATTTTTACTTAATGGAGGGTATTTTATACCTTCTGCTTATCAGTTTTATTCCACTCTAAATCAGTTTTAGAGTGTAATAAACCATGGGTCCTAAGTGAAATTGCAAAAGAGAAAATAAGGTTAAGAAAAAACAATTCAAGACTTTGGCTCTTAAAAACTTCTCTATGTGAGAGAACTAATTAAGCAGTACTGTGGGGAGAAAATCTTTCCTTTCCTTCTACTTGACTGGAACCTCTTAATCACTTTATTATCTTCTTTGCTGTGTGTATTTTAATTTTTTTTTGAGCTCTGCTAATGTTACTGTGGGATTAAATGTTGAAGTAAGCCATGAAGCAGACAAGGTGTATATTATTCTTGGAGAGTGAATAACTAACTGCACAGCAGTTCTGATGTTCAAATACTTCGCTGGTTAATTCCTCATTTTCTACAATGCTTAAATATATAGACTTTGGGATTAAATTGCTTGTTTTAGACTCTGGCTCTGCCACTTTTCAGCAGTGTTACCTTGGGCAAGGTAACTTAATGTCTTTGTGCCTCAGTTTCCCAACCTCCTAGGACACTTAAGAGGATTAAGTACCAATATAGGTTAAGTGCATATACTAGACCTTGGCACAAAGTAACCACTTAATAAATATTCGTTTTATTGTCACTATTGTTAATAATAAATTTATGTTGAATTCTAAATGCCTAGGTAACATACAACTGGATTTTTAAATCTGAAGTTACCAGTAGATTTATTATACTGGTAGCTATAAGAGATCCTTCAAACATGACTTATTCATCTTATAACTGGAAGTTTGTACTTTCTGATTCCCTTAGATCATTTTTATCTACTTTCCCCATATACCACCCCCCAAACTTTCTGTCTGTGGCTATCACCCATCTGTTCTCTGTATCTAGGAGCCCCCCCCCCCAAAGATTCCACATATAAATGAGATCATATGGTATTTCTCTTTCTCTGTCTGACTTATTTAACCTAACATAATGCCCTCAGGGGCTATCCATGTTTTTGCATATGGCAAGATTTCATTCCTTTTTATGACTGGATAATATTCCATTTTATATATGTACTGCATTTTCTTTATTCATCTACCAGTGGGTACTTGGGTTGTTTCCATATCTTGGCTATTGTAAATAATGCTGCAATGAATATTGGAGTTGCAAATACCCTTTTGAGTTAGTGGTATTTTGTTTTGCTTTGTTTTTTGGGTAAATATTTATTCCTGGACTTTCTGGATCATATGGTAGTTCTATTTTTAGTTGTTTTTTTTTTTTTAGGAACTTCCATACTGTTTTCAATAGTGGCTACAGAGTTTTACATATTTTTATGACATATCATTGTAAATGTGTTTATCCTAACATTACTTCTTTTGAACCAAGGTAATTGCTATAAATTTTGTGTGTATTCTTTCAATTGACAAAAAGTATATGTTGTCTTTGTCTTATGTCATATATAAGAGTCCTAATCAATAGTTTTAGTCTTCTCCGTGCCTTAATCTTTTAATTTCCTGCCTCTAAGTGTTTCCTACTTCTGCCGTGCTTATTTTTGAATTGCCCCAATGATACTGTTCTTTGCCAGGTCAGTAAAATCAGCTTGGTGGATCTAGCAGGAAGCGAACGAGCTGATTCAACTGGTGCCAAAGGGACTCGATTAAAGGTATTTATTTTGCTAGACAAATAGCTTAGTCAGTGATTGTTCTGCAACACAGGTCAACTCACTATGGCCAGTAGCCCTATCTGGTACACTGACTGCTTTTGTAAATGAAATTTTACTAGGATATACCTGCATCTGTTTATGTATTATCTGTGGCTGCTTTCATATGGCCCACAAAACCTGTATAGAAAAATTCTGCTGACTTCTGATTTATAACTTCAAAGAAAGGATATGTAACATATTCATCAAGGAGGGCCTCATGGTCCAGGTGAGAATTGAACTGTCTCTAGAGGAACAGGCAGAATTTGGCTAGATGAGAGAGCCAGTAGTGGGGAGAGGACACACAAGACCCGGATGGGGTAACGAGCGTGGCTCTTCCAGAGACGTGCTTGACAAGAGCAGAGAGTTCGTGTTGGTGAATTGTGGGAAGAAGGCCACATCTGTAAGTTTGTGGAGCATAAACATCTCAAAGATACTCTGGGACTGTGCATTAGGCACGTGGTGCTAGCACATTATCAAGTGGAGAGAAGGGATGATTGATGATTAAAGGAGATTTTTAGAATTTGTGGTCACAAATACACTAATAATGCTAGCATATGGCTAATTGTATTTTATATATTATATATGATGTGGCAATAGTAGGAATTCTCTGTAAATCTTTCATATTTGTAATTGATTTCAGGAAGGAGCAAATATTAATAAGTCTCTTACAACTCTGGGCAAAGTCATTTCAGCCTTGGCGGAGGTGGTAAGTATTAGACTTCCTTGTAAGGAAACATTTGGTCAGCAAGTATACTTGACAGGTATTTTATGATTGTTTATGATGGCTGTCCTTTTTTGGCCCTTTTACATAATCTTAACCTTTCTTCTATTAGAGCTTTTTGATATGATACAGTGTATGACACACTTTGTACTAAAAGTAAAGAGATTAAGGAGAATGAAAGTAAACATAGGCTAGAGTAAGGACTAGGTCTTTACAAAGACCTGTGGTTTGACTATTTTTGACCCTTATTTTGTAATGCTTATAAAAACCACACAAGTATTGCATGTTCTTTCTCCATACAATCTTTTCTAAGTAAGATGCAATACTTTTTGGAGTATTCTGAGCAGTTTGCCTTAGTAAATAAATGCAGTTGATTTTGGGGTGGGTAATGTATTTTTAAAAGAACTTATTCTCTTTCATTCCTTAACAGTGGAACACTAAAGCTGAAGCAATTTTTATATAAGGGGCTTCATTATTTATGTTAGAAGCTAAGGAAGTGTTAGTCATGTGTGCTCTAATTTAGTTTAGTACCTCATTTGAATCTTTAAAAAGAATTAAGCGCTTTCTTGCTTGCCTCTGAGAAGTCGTTCAGTTTATGCCTTAAAAATTACACACTATATTTTCTATATGGAGGCTTACCCTATGATTTCATTCTCTTTTTTAAATGCTTTCACGTGTAGGACAACTGCACCAGCAAGGTATGGTGGGATTTGACAAAAATGAACTAGCTGTAGAATTAATTGTGATGATTTTAGATCCTCACCAGGGTATATGGCAGCATAAGTAAGAATGGAACCTTCAAAAAAAGTTTTTATTGTTTGTTTTCTGGCTCTGGAATTTAGAATTGCTCTTTAGCGTGACCATGAATCATGAGACTTAACAGCAAAGTTAATTTAGGGAACATGATGTGCTCCGGAGGAGGAATTCAGAATAAAGGAAAAAGAAATTTGAGGAAGCTTCTGCACTGTGTTATCTTACAGTATTTCATTTAGTGATCTGGAGGACTGGCTCTTAAAACAGTCAGTAAACTACTCAAAAGGATGATAACAGAAATTTAAGGGTACCATTCTAAAACAGAGCTGGCTTCTTGAAATTACTAGTAGATTTTTCTAAAACTTCTTTGTGTTATCTTTACTTATTTACTACCATGAAGAGTTATTTTAATGATTTAAAAATTATTTTTTCTTTATAGTTGTATATAAAGTGCAGGCTATAGAATCACGTTAAAGCTGCATTTAAAAACATTATTTGCATCCTTTTTAACCCCAATACAGCAGATTTTTCTTTTCGTTATATTTCTATGGAGATACTCTAAAATTTATTAGTACCCTTTTGCATTATATAATAGAGCACCTAACAGTTTGTTCTGAATCACATGGGTAACATTGGGGATGGAAGCAGTATCTGTATGGAAATATTTTATGCTCATATTTTCAGACATAGATTTATTCTCTCTTTCTGCAAAAATAAAAAATAATGACTTTTTTTTCTGTTTTTTTTCTGGTATTAGAAAATGCTGCCTTAGATTTAAAACCTGATATTTGATATACATTTATGGGTGTTCTTCAAATATTTAATCTGAGTTCCAGAACTGTGAAGACTTAAAATTTAGTGATCATTCCAGCATGTCTGGTTAATTAACTCATCAGTTAACTTCCATATCAATTAAAGGAGAAGTTTACAAAGTACTTATCTGTATATTTCCCACATTGCTCTGTGCCACAATAATTCACAAATGACTTTTTATAATCAGTTTTGTAAAACCCAGTTTAGTACTTTGCATCTATGTTATAACTATAACAGATCAGAAATAAACTTCAGTTTTTAATGTAACAGGCATCATTTTTGGTGAATTAAGATGTATTGTTATTTCTACTGGGAAGAGAAGTAGGATTATTACCCCTTACACTTAGCAGTGTTTCTTTTCAGAGAGGTTATTGATGTGAATACATTTTTGTGTGTAGCTACTGAAGCACTTATTTTAAAAAATTATGGATATAAGACATGAGATTCATCTGTATAATAGAGCAAATAGAAATGAAGCGGCTAAAATTTCAGGGTATTTCAAATAGAAAAGATTGAAGTTCTATTTATGCATATTTATTTAGCTACTCCTTAATTTAGTCTAATTGACAGAAATGAAGAGAGAACATTTTTGGCAAACTGACACTGCTTATTTTTAGAGTATTGTTTGTGGCCATTGTAACCATCATGCTTTAAACCTTGTAGCATTTTCAGTACTAACCATAGGCAAAGTGGAGTGAGTAGGGAACTTTAGAAAAGGATAAATTGAGGTCTTGGGCCTCCAGAGTTTTGGAGAGAGGTGAAAGTTCCTCTAGACTGTGAATGACCGAGCGGGCTCAGTCTGCCTTGAGGTCTGTGTGATTTAGAAACTGCTGTTGGAAGTGACTTTCTAATTGTCGGAATGTGTGTGTGGGTGCAGTGGGATGAGATTGAGGGGATATTTTTGCTAAGAGGTGGAATTAAAGTGCTGCTTGCCTACTTTCTTTACTCAACAAACTGGAGGTCAGCTATGTAGTATTCTTTTTCTGAATAGCTATGCTTTTGCAAGAATTAGATTGCCCTTAGTCTAATTTAAGTTCAGATTATACCAGGAATGGATTATAAAACTTCCAGTGGCAGGGGAGATGTGTATCAGTGAACCCTGGCTTTCCCCTTGGTAGCTTCTTATCACAACACATCAGTCAGCCAGCAGACACTGGAGTAACCTTTGTGTGCAAAAAATTTTACTTTCAAAGGATATAACTTCCTCCATTGCAGCGCTGGCTTTGCACAGGTGCTTTTTGTTTTGTTCTGTGATAATGAGAAAGGTTACGGAGAGAGCGGTATAAGAAAAATACATTTTCAGTCTTTACAAATCTCCATATTAGCTAATTATATCATTTTCTTAGATCTTTTACTCCAGCGCTAATGATTTGTTTTAGGCATAATTTCTGCTCAAAGAAATCAAGTGTGTATTGCTGTATAAGAGTTAGTAGATTGTTAGTAGATCAACAACCCACTGGATGATTTGGTGGCCAAGTAGATGCATTAACTGAGTGAGTGGCTTGTACACATCTGGCCTTGACTGTACAGGATTTATATTTGCTCCTCTGCAGAAGTAAAAATTATTGTTTGAGGATTTGGTATTAGATGATGTTACAGAATTACTGTTAATTTTGTTAAGTGCGTGATAGTCATGCAGTTATGTTTTTTAAAAAGTCCTTCTCTGTTACAGATATGTACCTGAAGTATTTATAGGTGAACTGTTGGTTTTGTTTTTAAACAGTATGAGTTACAAAGACATGACATGGACAGGATGTTAAATAGTAGTATTTACTGTGTTGATGTTAAATTCCCTTAGCCTGGCCTTTTAACTGTGTGAGAGACCACCCTCACCTGCTGAGGGTTGGGGATTAGGAGGACATGATGTCTGCAATTTATTCCAGAATAGTTTGGGAATAAAAAGTGTTAGAAAAGTGTTTGAGGGATAATTGAAACATGATTAGCCAAATATTGAAAATGGTTGGAGCTGCATGATGGATATAGGGTACCTCATTATACTACTCTCTAAACTATTGTGTGTGTGTTACAAAGTTTTCAAAATAAAATATGAAAAGAAACAATCACTTGACTGCATGAGCTTTGGGTATCGGGAAGAATTGAAGCTGTGAGTGTTATATTTCTACAGTGAGGGTTCTACTGTAATTTAATTTACTTGGGAATTTTAGGCTGGTTTGCCTTTGATGTGATTTTTCTCTCTTTAACAATACTAAGACTGTTTCTTCCTGTTTCACAGAGTAAGAAGAAGAAGAAAACTGATTTTATTCCCTACAGGGATTCTGTGCTTACTTGGCTCCTTCGAGAAAATCTAGGTATGTTGACCACTGGTGTGTAATTATCTTGTTGACTTAAGCTGGTTGGAGGCGCACACCTTGCTTTAAATCAGGGTTTCCTCCCCTGCGTTGTTGACTTCGGGACACGAGTTGCGGAGTGGCTGTCTTCCTGACCACACGCCTGCCTCGGGCTGTTGCTCTCTCTTCCTCTTTGACAACTCCATGCTCCTCTGAGGCACACGTAATCAGAGTGACTAACCCTTGCTCATTTTTGCTGATGTTTTTGGACCTTCATTCACTCTCTCTGTGGCTCCTTTCCCTCCTTGATGATGAGGAGGGTGTGATCGGCTCTGTCGAACATTGCCGATAGAAAGAAGAGGCGGAGGCTAGCCTGGCCTGTCGGGCCATCCCTGTCACAGTGACTTTCCCGTCACCAAGAGTGGCTCTGGTGGGGCGGCTGAGCTCTGGATTGGCGTGGGAAGAGGGAAATAGGGCCGATGCAGACACCAGGATTTGAGCACAGTGCCTAGCATGGGGGCATTTAAGAAGTTTGTTGACTTTTGAATAAATCTTAGAATCTGAGGTTGTGCTGTCTGGTCTGACACATTCAACAAAACTTTTCTAAAATGAGTATGATTTGAAATAATCACGATTCGTCTTTTTAGGTGGCAATTCTCGGACCGCAATGGTTGCTGCTCTGAGCCCAGCAGATATCAACTACGACGAAACTCTGAGCACTCTGAGGTACTCCAGTGTGATCTCAATAGCTAAACAGAACACAGTGCCACTTTAAGTCGTTTTGTGAGGCCTTGTATTTTCTCCTGCTTTGTGGGCAGTCATTTACAGTAGTGATGATTCAGTCCTCTCGTAACAGAGAAAATGTTGGGGGTGGGGGCGGGGTAAGAGATTCTTATTATAATAGAATCGGCCTGTTTATGGTTTTTGCTTTCATTGGGAAAGTCAAGGACTTTTTCATAGGAAAGGTATTGAAATTGTTCAAGTGAGATTTTTGGGGTAACTTTTAGTTAATAGTGAGAATTTCTTAAAACTCATCATTTCTATAAAAAGAAGTGTCCCTTGTGGTGTTTGTCATTATAGAAATGTTCAAGTCATAAAAAGTAATATAATTATGAGTACAGGTAGCATTTAAAAGAATTAGTTGACAGTGTGTACTAGTAGAATATTTCTATACCTGAATAGGTTTTATTATTTTAAACCCAAACATTCTACTCTTCTCTTATTAAAGATACTTTTAATATGCTGAAAATAATACTATATAGTCTTACAAATCACTTTTGAATTTGATTCCTTTCTCTGGTATTTATTTCCTTTGTGAACTTGACTAAATCACTTAAATTCATCTGCTCCTTTTTCTTCATCTTCATAAGGTACTATAAAGCTTTATAAAACTGTGTTATTGTTAAGGATGTGTATGTGTGAATACTCAAGCTATTTGCTTTAGAAACAATGGTATGTTACTTACAAGGAGTAGAGCTTGTGAGTAATGGCAAAAATGAATCTTTTTGGGTCTAGATATGCAGATCGTGCAAAACAAATTAAATGCAATGCCGTTATTAATGAGGACCCCAATGCCAAGCTTGTCCGAGAACTAAAGGAGGAGGTGACTCGACTGAAGGACCTTCTTCGTGCTCAGGGCCTGGGAGATATCATTGACAGTGAGTGAATTCAGGAGCAATTCAAAATCGAATCCGCTCCTCTTCAGGGTTCTTCTATTTAGGATTAGGTTTAAAGGACTTGAAGCTAGATGGTAGTGAAAAGGGTTTTTTTCTTCTTAAAAAACCCAATGAAAAGGATCTCGGTTTTTTTTTTTATATAGTATGCACCAGGATATCCATTTGAACTTACGAAATTAATTTTTCATGACTATATCACCACTTGTATTTTTATTAGATTTCTGTTAGATTAGATCAGCAGTGAAGTTTATTTGGAATGTTAAGCTTATTCTCACTGAGAAACTAATCACTTTATAGAAGTGGTATTTGAAAATTTTGGTTCTGTATTCTGGATTTCTCTGGATTAATGTAGTAGTAGTGATATATATGTGACTGCCCCCCACCTTGATCCCTATGAACATACAAAGAGGAAAATATCTATTTCCTTTGAAGTTCAAGAATTAGGCTTTCAGAGAATATTCTTACAATATGTCTTAAAATGAATCTCCTTATGTCTGATTAGACATACCGTCTAACCAGAAGTTCTCTGAAGTGAATTAAGTAGAATATTCAGATAGAATAGTACTGGCTTTATTTAATGCAGAATATTTATGTTTTTTTAATTATAAAATTAATGTATTATTTAGAATTCTAACAAGATTTTTAAGGCCACTTTTGGTTTTCTAGTTTAGTTTGTCTTACTGATTAGCACTTGATTTTAGATGAATACAGTTTGTGAAATGATAATATATTCTTAGTGTTAATATTTTCATCTCCCTAAATGCCAAAATGCTGCTCTGTTCCTTCTCTGTGTCACTGCTGAACCTGAACTCTGACCCTTCTTGTATTTTCCCTCCTGCTTACCTTCAGTTGACCCATTGATCGATGATTACTCTGGAAGTGGAGGCAAATGTGTGTATTTCATGTATTGGTCATTTCCAGTACTCCGATTTGCTGATCTGCCTCTGCTGGATTAGCCTTAACATGAGCTTTGCATGCCAGCAGTTCTAATAGAGAAATCCCAGACAGAGCATACTGCATGTAGATTCAGAAATGTTCCTATTTTTGCTCTTCTCCATTTAGCGAAGAAATCTTTGCTGAATTCCAGTTTGGTCTTGAATAACGTCAAGAAGCTTAAGAATCTCTTGTTGCTTCTACTTTTCAGTTTTTCTACTTATGTGATTAAACTGCATCCAAGGTCACAAATGATGATAACAGAAGTTCACATTCTAGTACCTTGGATATATTATCTCATTTAATCCTGTCAATGACTCAAAAAGTTTTATCATGCCAATTTTACCAATAAGGTCACAGCTACCTGGAGTGGTCAGGTTGGGTAGTGTAAGTCAGAGCCCTAGCTTTTAATCATTATTACACTTTTTTTGCTCTTAAAATCCTTCAAGTCTGATTATTTAATAGCAAAAGCCTTTATAATTAGCCATGTAATTCTGAGCCTTAGTGTATATGTAATTAATTAAAAACAGTCACTTCCAGTTGGTAAGATTGTGACTGAGCTGCTTTGTGAATGTTGGATTAGCACTCACGCTGTTCTTAGACTAAGTTGGTTTCGTTTGTATCATGGGCCTCAGTTTACTTGATAGGTAGGTAAACATTTTATTTTCATGAATTACAATTAAATTTTAAAAACTTAAGTGAATAAAATTTGTGCTTAAGATGAGGACTTTTTATAAAGGATCACACATTGATCTTTCCATATATATTACTAAGTTGGTGATATAATTTCTACCCTTTTAAGATAATTTATCAAGGAATTGTTATCTTACAAGAAATGAAGAATCTTGATTTTGGGGTGGGTTAAGTTTTTTATTTTTATTGATTTGTTGGCTTGACAGAATATGAGGAAAACATAAGAGAAACCAAATACAACCCTGGCTGCTCTGATGGAGTTAGGCCTGGAGGACACTAAGACATTCGAATGCAGAGTGACTCTTGGACTGGAACGGCTCTGTCTGAGATTTCCAAAGCTGAGCGACACTGGTGTGGGAAAGGCACCGTCTTAGTCTTGCTTTTGTGCTGCAGGAGGTGCTGCTGCCAGCTTGTTGTTGCCTCCCTCTGTCCCGGGCAGCTGTGGCATCTCCCTGGAAGCTATGCATGACTTAAGTTTTAATTCTGTATCGTGCAGGAAAGCAGCCCCGACCACTTCTGAATTTGCATTTCAGTCGACTACTCTTAATTCCTTTAGGGCCTGCATGTGTTAGTTGGACCTTCTATCTCCATCCTTCTGTTCTTTCGCACCTTGCTGCCATCACCTGGTAGCTATTTTTTTTGCTCCAGTTTCTATCTCCCTTTTAAAACTTGCTTGTTTTCCTATGTTCTACATTGCAGATGGTGGTTTTCAAACTGTCTTGAAGCAACCACTACTTTTAAGGGGCTTCAAGAACTGGCTTTGATTAATTACAGATGAGTAGGCCAGACAGTGCTCACAGTATTTTTTCTGACTCTTTGTATTGAGACATATCCTTTAAGGAAAACTTAGTTTTTATATGAATTTTAAGCAACATAGATTTTCTTGAATTTAAAAATGAGCTGATTTTAAAATGGGAATGCACTAATACTGATGGTTTTTCTGTGGTGTCTTTTTGAGAAGGATGATTAATGAAGGAAAATACAAACAGCAAATTATTGAATTTTGTTGTTTTTGGCTCGTGTACCAAAACTAAGTTGAAAAGCAAAATTATACCTCTACTGCAGATCTTAGTGAATCAAAGTATGCCCCTAAAACTTGCATTTCATTCTAGGAACTTGGCTTACTGATGGCTCATGGTCATACTGTTAGGAAAAGTAAGAGCCTCCCTCAGCAAATACTCAGCCTTAGTTTTGGCATTGCCTCAATGGATGAGTGTAAACTCCACCAGATTCACTCATTCGCTAATTGTTCTTCCCCATTGAGGCAAGCAGTTGGCCCCAAGTTCTTAACTAGGAATTATACAAAATTTCTGTCATTTCTACAATTACTCTACTTTTTTAAAAAATTGTGTATTTAAAAAATTCTAGTGTAGTTGAAATGTTGCTTAACAAAGTACACTACTAAGTGCTCAGATACTTGTTTTAACTAACATTTTGGGGGAATTTTTGCTGAATCCTATAAAACACTGGGCCAGGCTGATATGTACTATTCTTGATAAATAAGTGATCATCTTTTTTCTCGTGCTGCGATAAACTGCTGGTGTTCGAGAGTAGTGTAAATCTAAGGCGTTGTAGATTTGGAGCCACAGAAGGAATGTAGCAAAGCTACTTAGGGAGGATGCCTAAGCATTATCCTTTGCAGGCCCTGGTTACCCCCTACCAGGTACAACATTAAGCTATGCGGCAGTTTTTTTGGTTCCTAAATTCAGAATTGGTTCTCAACCTTTCGGATACCAGTGTTAAAGACAGACATGTTTTAGAACTGCCATCTAGAACAGTTAACGGCTCGTCCGTGTATTTTAACATGTCTTTGTCTTGGCACTTCAATGCTTTCCTTTCTTACACTGGTGTTCCTTCCTGTCTTTTTCCTTTTCTGTTCCTTTCCTTCTTTTCCACTTTTTCTGCCTCCCCTTCTGTCTCCCAGATCTGAAAGATTTTCAGAACAATAAGCATAGGTACTTGCTAGCCTCTGAGAATCAACGCCCTGGCAATTTCTCCACAGCATCCATGGGGTCCCTTACTTCATCTTCATCTTCCTGCTCACTCAGTAGTCAGGTGGGCTTGACATCTGTGACCAGTATTCAGGAGAGGATCATGTCTACACCTGGAGGGGAGGAAGCCATTGAACGTCTAAAGGTAAGTTAACAGTTCACACTGAATTAAAGGTATTCCATGCAGTTTGACAAGGCAGAATTAGGACTAAAAATCACTGAGATTTTGATTCAGCATATGGAAGAACTTTCTAACTTTTAGAGTTGTCCTCAAAGTGAGATTTGCTGCTTTGTGAGGTACTTAATTTCTTTTCACCGGGATGCTTGAGTCTGACATGGCCAGGCAGAGTGGGAGGGATGCATGGATAGATCATAGGTTGGCCACACCAAGTAACTGATAAGTAGATGTGTTCATTAGTTCTGAGGTAGTTTATCAGTCCCAGTGAAGTTGTTTAGTTAGAGCTCTGGCCAGTGTGACTCGGTTGGTTGGAGCATCGCTGCATAACCGAAAGGGTGCCAGTTTGATTCTCTGTCAGGGCACATACCTAAGCTGTGAGTTTGATTCCCGGTCCAAGCACATATGGGAAGGCAGCCAGTGGGCGCTTCTCTCTTGCACTGATGTTTCTCTCTCTCCCTTCCTCTGTCCTTTCCTCTCTCTCTAAAAGCAATGAAAAAGTGTCCTTGGGTGTGGAAAAAAAAAAAAAGAAAAGAAATTGTTTAGTCAGAAATCTAGTTGAAAACATGTGGTTTCATTGGAAGAATTTTATGTAGAGCCATGCATGTGTTTAGTAAAATAAATACACAATCAAAAGACAGTTTGAACATTTAAATAGTTATACCAAGTTTATTCCGAGACACGTGAAGTGACATCTTCTGGAAGTCCATGGAAAGCCTTGGAACCTTGCAGTCACTGTGGTGGGAGGCCGGCCTCGGCCGTGCAGGTGCACGTGGGGTCAGAGGCCTGCGCGCTGCGCACTTCAGTCCTGCACGCGCAGGTCAGCTGACGTGGCACCAGCTTTGCTTTCCCAGCCTGTCGCCGGCTCAGGCGAGGGCCTTCCTTGCCTCTCCGTGAGTGTGAAAGTCAGGAACAGCAAAGCCTTCTGACTCAGGTTCTTCCTTCCCCCTCAGTGAGAACAATGAGAGCAGACAGTTGTCACCTGTGGTGCCACGCGTCAAGTCACTGTGACAGCATCACAGATGCTTTTTCTTTCCTTGCTTGTCATCCAGGATGTTAGTTTGATCCATGTCTTTTGGCCTCTGTGTTCAGGAGTGCCGGGGTAGGGAACACGAGGAGGGCACGGACACTGTAAGGAGCTGGGAAGCTGGCACCATGCTGCCAGCCTCACGGTCCTCTTTGCATCCACGACTGCTGCTCATTCGGGGAGCGAGGAGGAGAGCGACACACTGTGACAGATTAGTAATTGGAAATGCTGAACCTTTTCACCACTGAAGGGAATTAAGCTTGATAACTGAAGATGGCAGATGCCTTCACTTCACTTTTCTGGTGAGGCTGAGAAAGATTTTCTTAGTCAGCCTACCTTTTCCCTTGGCATTTTACTGCCAAAGTAAGGTGCCTTGGAAACCAAAGGAAGGATCCTGTATTTTCCTCGAGAACGCGTTAGTGGAATGTGGCTGAGGTTCTGAAATACCTGGCAAAGCTAGAGGGAGCGAGAGATCCTTTCACATTGCAAATTGAAGGGTGATCCTGCTGATGCAAGATCGACTTTGGAACTTGACCAAAGACACCGGCGAAGCCGCGGGCGGGGAGGCTCTACGCACGTGTTTGTCACTGAGGCACCGGTGACGACCGAGCTGCTGTCACCGATGCTCTTTGGGAAGGAAAAGGAACTCTCCCACTTACTGTTGAATATGAAATGTTCTTTTTATTTGGGGACTTTGAATCTTACTCTTTGCTCATTAAAGCCTTGGTGTGCAAATGAAATAATACTTTCCTTTAACATACATCTTGGCGTAAAGAGAAGATTCTTCCTAACTGCCAAGTGGGTCCAACTGAAAATACTGTTGAATGTGAGGAGTCAAGACATTAACCAGACTCTGAAGAATTAGGTCATCCAGCGTCTTCCAAGTAGTTTCTCGGGAATAACACTGCCACCATTCAGCACACCCTCCCCCCAGCCTCCCCACTTTCCACCAGAAACAAAGTAAAACTGTACTACTTTCATCAGAAAGTAATCTTGTTCATCTGTCTGTTTTAATTCTCCCTTAAGCCAACGTAAATGAAATATTCTATTTTCCCCACCTTTAGAAAATAGCTCCTTTGCTGTTAATGCAGCATGGTAGTTCACTGAAGCATAAGCGCCATGGTTCTGCCCTTATTTTGTGAACGGTGAGAATTCCCTTTGGCGGACCTGCATTCTAATGCTGCTGGCGGATAACATCGTGCATCCACAGCGAGGCAGTTGTTATATGATAGAAATCCTTGAGAATGTTCTGGTTTTGGTTATTTCATTGTTGAGTGTGAAGTAACTGCGTTCCTAAGACATGACACTGTAGGGAAAAATACTGTGATGGTAAACAGTTCATTTTCCCAACATTTTATTTCCCTTTGCTTCTCTTTTTGATTAAAAAAAATGATCAGTTGGTATAGTAGTATACTTTTTCATAGGACCTTGTTCCTGCTCTGTTTATTGAGTAGTCTGTTTTCATACGGGAGAGGCCCATCCATGATACCCCATCATAAATATTTTGAGCCCTTCATAAACCTGTTTGGCAAAACAGAATGACATGCACTCAGTCTTTAGTTGCAACTCAAACGGAGTGGGAATGTATGTACTTTTGATTTAGATTCCCATTCAGTGAATTTTAAAATACGTAGCTATAGCCACTGTGTGGTGGCTCTGGTGTTTGTTTACTAGTCTAGCATCAAAGTCAGCACTGGGAGTGCCATTGCTTAGGCTCAGACTATAAATACCCACAAATATCCATTGCAGAAGCACACAAGGGCAAATGCTCTGCTAGGGAGTCCGGGGGCCCCACACTTGGAACTCACTCCGGAAGCATGCTGTGTTCAGCACAGTAAAACCTTGGGCATCTGATGGCTTTCGGGAATGTTCCATGTATAAGCACTTAACTTTCAAATATCACAAACTGATTTTTTTTTTTCATGGAAGTTTTTCTTGTTTTGTGGGTTTCTCTGCCACCATAACTGAATCATGGAAGAGATTAAATTGTGTTTAGCTGTATGTATAAACAGTTATTAACCAGTGCTGCATAAACAGCTAGACATACATGATGCGAGACTGAAGTTGAATGACACGTTAGCCCAACATTCCTTGGGACTTAAAAAGGTTTCTGATGTTGCTTTGCTTTTTAGAATTTTTTTTTATGTGAGTACTTGCAGGAAGGAAGGACCCTTAAAAGGTTTTGTCTTCTCAGCTCCTTATTTCTTAAGCATGAATCTCCATTTTAGGGTTTTGGGCAGACTGGACGCCAGTGTGCTGGGCCTGCCTGTGGAGTGACTGGGTGACACAGAAGCTGAGAGCTGTCGTCCCGTTGGCATCTCCATCTTATTTGTGCTGAGTTTGTTGTTCAGGCTTGGGGAAAGAGCACTCTTCAGCCCTGGCTGGTGTAGCTCAGTGGATTGAGCTCGGGCTGTGAACCAAAGTGTCGCAGGTTCGATTCCCAGTCAAGGTACATGCCTGGGTTGCAGGCCATGACCCCCAGCAACCACACATTGATGTTTCTCTCTCTCTCTCTCTATCTCCCTCCCTTCCCTCTCTAAAAATAAATAAATAAAATCTTTAAAAAAAAAGCGCACTCTTCACTTTTGCTTCATTTATAGTGAGCTTTTTTGTAGGATATTTTTTGAAAGCCTACCACTTCTGCTGTACTTGAAGAAAAAACACTGAGAGGTAGGAAACCCAGTTCCAGACCTGGCTCAGGAAGAAGTGTGGCCGCAGGTTAATTGCTTACTTTCTCTGGTCCTGAATTTTTTTATCCCTAGAATAGTTCTGGAATAAATGGTTTTCCCAGGCTTTTTCCAGCACTCAAGTTTCGCTAATATGATACTCAGTATCATTTTGTCTAATTTTTCTTAAAAGTTTTTAAAAACAGCTTTCTAAACAATATAAACATTTCAACTTGAAAGCTATATTGAAAAATAAAAGTGGTACCTTACTCAGCTTATTTATTAAATCTCTTTCCTACAAAGATATCATATGCTGATTTACCCTCCAGGTGGGAAGTAAAATTATTGATGCCACATTAGAGTTGGCAGCAAAATGGTAAAAGGATCACTAGACAGTATCTTTGCTTAGGGTGAGTTTCCAGTGGCCCCAAAATGGATTCCATTAATACAGCCAGACAGATCTCTACCCTGACACGATCTTTTTCTTCAAAACTGACCAGAAAAAATAATAATTTAAGTATCTCGTGGGTCACTTTGTGTTCCATAATGAACATCAGTGGCTTGTGGGCCACAGTGTGTTTAATAAGCACTCGTATAACTGCTCTGGTTTGGTCAGTGGCATTGTATTCTGTTTCTTTGTTTTCAAAGTTGTTGTTTTGAGACTGTAACGATTTCTACCCAGCTGTCATTAATAAGCCTTAATATCCTATAGGTTATGGTGCCCGCTTATCGTGTACTTGCCCCTTCACAGCCACTTGCAGATGCATTTAACGCTGCCCTGTTAGAGCTGTGCTCTCCAGCTTGTCCCTCCTGACTCCCGTGCTCCTTTTGCAGCTGCTTCTGCAGCTGCTGCCTTGACTCTTTGCTCTCGGCTCTTTCACGTGCTCCCGTGCAAATGCCGGGCACCTAGGTGTATGGTATTACATATTCACAGTTTGTTCCTATGTAATTATGTCCTGAGACCTGAGAGGCTTTTACAGAATAGCCTATTAAGTGAATCATACTATTTTAAGATTTTATTTATTTTGTTTTAGACAGAAGGGTAGGGAGGGAGAAAAAGGAGAGGTACATCAGTGTGTGGTTGCCTCTCATGTGTCCCCTAGTGGGGACCTCACCTGCAACCCAGGCATGTGCCCTGACTGGGAGTCGAACCAGAGACCTTTTGGTTCACAGGCCTGTACTCAATCCACTGAGCTACATCGGCCAGGGCTTAAGTCTTTTTTAAAAAATATATTTTATTGATTATGCTATTACAGTTATCCCATTTTTTTTCTTCCCTTTATTCCCCTCCACCCTGTACCTCCCTTCCACCAGCATTCCCCCACCTTAGTTCATGTCCATGGGTCATACATATAAGTTCCTTGGCTTCTCCATTTCCCATACTATTCTTAACCTCCCCCTGTCTATTTTGTACCTGCCATTTATGCTTCTTACTCCCTGTACCTTTTCCTGCATCCCCCTTCCTCCCCCTCCCCACTGAAAAACTTCCATGTGATCTCCATTTCTGTGATTCTGTTTCTGTTCTAGTTGTTTGCCTGGTTTGTTTGTTTGTTTAGGTTCAGTTGTTGATAGTTGTGAGTTTGTTATTTTACTGTTCACATTTTTTATCATCTTTTTTCTTAGATAAGTCCCTTTAACATTTCATATAATAGGGGCTTGATGATGATGAACTCCTTTAACTTGACCTTATCTGGGGAGCACCTTATCTGCTCTTCTATTCCAGATGATAGCTTTGCTGGATAGAGTCATCTTGGATGTAGGTCCTTGCCTTTCATGACTTCAAATATTTCTTTCCAGCCCCTTCTTGACTGTAAGCTAATTTCTTTTGAGAAATTAGCTCATAGTCTTGTGGGAACTCCTTTGTAGGTAACTGTCTCCTTTTCTCTTGCTGCTTCTAAGATTCTCTCCCTTTCTTTAATCTTGAGTAATGTAACGATGATGTACTTTGGAGAGTTCCTCCCTAGGGTCCAACTTTTTGGGGACTCTCTGAGCTTCCTGGACTTCCTGGAAGTCTATTTCCTTTGCCAGATTGGGTAAGTTCTCCTTCATTATGTTTTCAAATAAGTTTTCCATTTTTTGCTCTTCCTCTTCTCCTGGCACCCTTATGATTTGGATGTCAGAATGTTTAAAGTTGCCCGGAGGTTCCTCATTTGTTTTGATTCTTATTTCTTCATTCTGTTCTGGTTGAATATTTATTTCTCCCTTCTGCTCCAAACCATTGATTTGAGTCCTGGTTTCCTTCCCTTCACTGTTGGTTACCTGCACATTTTTCTTTGATTCACTTTGCATAGCCCTCACTTCTTCCTCTATTTTGTGGCCATACTCAACCACTTCTGTGAGCATTCTGATTGTCAGTGTTTTGAACTCTGCATCTGATAGGTTGGCTATCTCTTTACTGCCTAATTGTATTTTCTTTTTTTTTTTTTGAGTTTTGATCTGTTCTTTCATTTGGGCCATATTTTTTGTTTCTGAATGCCTGTTACGGTGTAAGGAGTGGAGCCTTAGGTATTCACCAGGGTGGGGCACCGTGTGGCGTGTTGTGGCGCTGTCTGTCGGGTAGGGGAGAGAGAGGAACAATGATACTTGCTCAGCCCTGGGCCAGCCTTCAGTCACTTCCCCCACTACCCTCAAGCAAGTTGGGCCCTTCTGGCGCTGATTCCCAGGTTGGTGGTTTTGTGTTCGTTCTAGGACCCGGTGAGTCTCTCCAGCAAACTCTCCTGTGATGTTGGGAGTTTCTCCTGCTGCCTCAACTCCCACAAGTTTTTACAGCCAGAGGCTTTGAGTCTTTATTTCCCCTCTCTGGAACCCTGGGTTGCATGGTCTGTCTCACTGCCGAGTTTTTCCTCCAGGTTTATCTGCATGCAAATGTGGGACCGCCTGGTCCTCCAGTCTCCGATTTGCCACGGGTCCTCTCTACCCTGGCTGCCTATCTCTTCCTCTCCTACTGGTGTGGATGAATGCTTTTTCTTTAACTCTGGTTGTCAGGTTTCCATACAGTTCAGTTTTCTGGCAATTCTGGTTATTGTTTGTTTTTAAATTTGTTGTTGTCCTTCTTTTGATTGTGTGAGGAGGAAAACTCTATCTACCTATGCCTCCGTCTTCGCCGGAAGTCCCTGCTAAGTCTTTTTATCCTTAATCACTATCACTGTTATCATCATCATCATCATCATCTCAGCATTGTTATCATCATCATCTAACTTTCTCACTTTGTCTCCACACCTGGCATGTTCTCCTGCTTTCTGCACACGCTCATGTCCTGGTTCGGCTCTCCCTCTCCCTGCGTTAGTCAGCTCCTGCTCGTCCTTCGCTCATCGGCACGAGCATCACTCAGCCCTGCCTCACCCACACTCCGGCAACCTTTGAATACCTCAGTTCCAGCACTTAGCACCCTGTTCCCTTCTGTTGTAGGGTTTTGTTGTTGTTTTGTTTTGGGGGGTGTACCACACCTATTCACAGTACTCAAACCTGTTGCCCTAGCCACACTGTTGCTGTATCTGGAAGATTCCAGGCATTTCCTACCCGTTCCCTCACATACTCGTGTAGAAGCTCCGGCTCACATAGAACCTTGTCAATGAGCCCTGTCGTGGCGACCCCGCTCCACATCGCGCCCTCGCTACCCCTCCCCTGGCATTGTTTTCTTCCCTCGCCTTGTTTTTCTCCACAGCACTCACTGCTATCTGCCATACTGTATACTTGATTACTAAAATGTAAGCCTCACGAAGGCAGGAATTTTGTTCCCTGCCTTGCCTTTTGTTGCCTAAAATGGGGCTTGGCATATAATGGGGTTATATATAATTACCGAATGAAAGACTCATCAGTTATTTCTCTCCCTGGTATACAGTAAACTCCTTGAGAGCAGGAAAGATGTTTCATTTCTTATTTTTTGGCATATAATAAATATTCAGCAAGAAATAGTGGAATTATCACTTCAGTGGCAGAATGCGTTGGTTTGTGTTCAGAAGGTATTGTATTGTAAGGGAGGAACAATATTTTTCCTTATACCTTTCTAGGTTCTTGTCTGTGGCCCCTGTAACAAAAGGCAGATTAGTAGTGAAAACCAGATAGATTTGTTTAATAAAAGTTTGACATGACACCGGAGTCTCCATAAGAAGGTTAAACCTGAGCATTAAGTTTGATGAAAAGTGAAAAGTTGTGCAAAAATCCGACCAGGCAAAAGGGGTGTGAACTAAGGACAGTAAACTGGGGGAAACCTTTCCGGGCCCGTTTGTCCAGATACCTCTTGGCAGGTCCCCATCCTCAGAGGGTGGGTACTACTTCCTTCCAGCTGTGGGGAGGGCGCCTCTCCTGAGGCTCCAGTAACCTGCTTCAGGAGGAGATCAGAGTCCTTCCTGCACATACCGCTCTGCAGGTTGCTGCAGCTGAAAATATTTAGTATGCCAAGGTACCATGTTTTGGGGGAGCATGTTCTGAACCCCTCAGAGTTATGGCAAAATTGTAGTGACGCGGATGTCAGAAATTGTGCCTTGCATTTTGGGGTGTTAATATTACCGTTTCCCCTGCGCACACACACACACTAGTAAGGTATTTTTATTGGAACTTAAGGAAATTAATATATCTGGGATTGATTTAGTGTTAAGCCTAGTCTTTATGGTTCTTTCTTTACATATTAAGAAAGGGAAAAAATCTCGTCATACTGGATTCTGCCTCATGTTCTCAGAGGACATCATCTGCTTCTTGCTGTCCTTCTAGACATGCTATGTTTAACGATGAGACCGTTTGCTACTGTAACTGTGGACTTCCTCCCGCAGGAATCAGAGAAGATCATTGCTGAATTGAATGAAACCTGGGAAGAGAAGCTGCGCAAAACAGAAGCCATCAGAATGGAGAGGTTAGGACGTCCAACTCTGGGAATGTTTCTGAATTTCCTAGGGAATTTGGGTTATTTTTAGAGTAAGAAATGGTAAAATAAAAGTTAAAAACAAAGAACCTTCACCCTGGCTGGTGTGGCTCAGTTGGTTGGAGCATTGTCCTGTAGACCAAGAGGGAGTGGATTTGATTCCTCCAGTCCGAGCACATACTCAGGTTAGGTTGCAGGCTCAGTCCCAGCCAGGGCGCGTATGGGAGGCAAACAATCCATGTTTCTAGGTTTCTCTCCCACATGGATGGTTCTTTCTCTCCTTTTTTCTCCCTGCCTCCCTCCCTCCATTTCTAAAAAGCTATGAAAAACTGGGAGATGTTGAGGGATAGTTTTCAATTTGCAGAAAGACTGCCTTTGATAAAGGCCTAGATTTTAAAATCTTTTCAGATTATTTTCTTGCGAAGTTTTCTAGAACCTCTTTGGTAAGAAATGAAGTAGTTTGAGTTGCAAACTTTTAAAATCCCTGTTCTGTCCCTACCCTGAATGTGAGCATAATTCAGAATAGAGTTATGCAACTTTTGCTATTGGAATAAATACTCACTTTTGAAATGTTGGTTTCTCACTTTTCTCTTCATAGAAATGAGGCAGAAGTGAGTTCCAATGTATTGATACAATAAATGTATCAAACAGAACTTTCTTATTAATTATAGAGATTTTAAGGTAGAATTGTTGAACCATTATTACATTGGGCATGGGAACATAATCAAGAAAACTCACACTTATAGCCAATATTCCATCTATCAAAGTTACTTTCTGATTCCTTACTTAGATTTTGAGAAAATAGTTTAGTTTTATGTAGAGCCCAAAGGAATATCCCTTTCTTCTTTTTTTGTAAATAGACATTATTATGATTTATTGTCTACCTCCAAAGTCAGATGAGACAAAGTTCTTATTTAGGTAAATATAACTTCATCTAACATAAGAATATAATTTATTTTGAATGTGCTGTTTCTCTTAAAAATAATTTTTCTAATGACGGCATAAGCAGATTTTGACTTTAAATATGGACAGATTTTTTTTTTTGCTTTGCTTTATTTTTCAATAAATGTCAGACCAATTTAATCAACATTTTGGTATTGGTATTCTGATGTGATTGTTGTTTTTTCTAGAGAGGCCTTGTTGGCCGAGATGGGAGTTGCCATTCGGGAAGATGGAGGAACTCTGGGGGTTTTCTCACCTAAAAAGGTAGGAAATAATGTGAGACTCAGGCAAACAGAAACACTTTTTCTTTGTCTAGTCACTGGAGCACTTTGTCTTTCTGAGCTGGTCCCTTATTCCCCTCCTTTTTTTAAATCTGAGATTTGGCTTACTTAGTTTCAGATATTTCTGACTTTCCCTGACAGTACAAGGGTTGCCTATAGTGTTTACTGATTACAAAGTAAAACCCGAGGCAGTAAGCCTGTGACTTTTGGTCATGATCCATTATGATCAATCATCTTCGTTGTTGCTCTCTCTCAAATTCCCAGCCTAACCTCGCATACCTTGCTTCGGCTTGGCTGCTCTTTCCCTGCAGATTTTCCCGTAGGTGCCCGCAACCCTGGTTTTTCACTCTCTCGAGGCACTTTCAGCTGGTTGGTTCTGTTAGGAAAAATAGCCGCTTCAGTTTGCTTCTTCAGAGTGTTGTAGACAGTCGTGCATGGAGCAAAACAATTCCTGTCCTCATGCTTCCAGCCTCGGCTCCCTTCTCCGAGAGGAACACGAAAAGGCTCCAGCAGTTACCCTCCTGCTTACACAATTATAGTTGTGAAGTAGTAGGTACCTTTTAGTTCACTAGAATGGTAAGGTGTGGGGTTTTCTTGTTTTTGGCTAAGTTGCTTCTTAGTTGTTAGATACTGGAAAATATTATCATGTGATTCATTTTGTGTGCTTTGTTACATAATAATAGAACATAGGTTAATGTACAAAGCACATACTTCATACCAATAATAAATGGTCCTTCATTTCAGATGACCTCAGTTTGGCTCTTTGAGACTTAAATATCTTCATGTAAGGGTCTGATAATGATTTCTCTAAGTTAGCATAGAATGGGTAGGAATTGGTACTTTTGTTTTATGTAATATAAAATATTCCTGGGGTTTTTGTTAGGATTCTTTTGATTGGGTTTCTCACATAACTTTTTCATAAATTCCAGTATTTTTTTCAACAAAGAAGATTGATTTAAAGAAATTTTAGATATATGTTGTAAAACTCGAACAATAGTAAAACTATTTTATGTTTTTAGCGTCTGAGGTCAGTGATTTTCACAGTTTAAAGGCTTTTCCTTCAGTATGACATTATTTATTCAGATATATTACTTAAGGTTGTAGAAATTGTAGCAGTTACAGGTTTGATAGAATTTAGATTATGCTTTTGCATGTATCTGAAGATATACGCACACAATCATATTTTAAGAGATGTTATAACATCTTTCAGTTGTAAGAATTGTGGGGAAAATTTTTGTATAATATCTTGTGAAAATATGGTGTTTAACACCAATCATAAATAACTTGTGTTTTGTGCCCTGGCTGGTGTGGCTCAGTGGACTTGAGTGTTGGCCTGCAAATCAAAAGGTTGCTAGTTCGATTCCCGGTCAGGGCACATGCCTGGGTTGCAGGCCAGGTCCAGTGGGGGCATGTGAGAGGCAGCTGCACATTGATGTTTCTCTCCTTCTCTTTTTCTCTCCCTTCCCCTCTCTAAAAAATAAATAAAAATTTAAAAATATTTAACAAGTTTTGTGATGTAAACAGCATAGAATTCCAAACCAGCAGCTCTGTTTTCAAACCTTTTTCTTTCATTTTACCCATCCTGCTTTAACTTTCTAGACTTCCTGAAGAGACTGACCATGTCCGGATTCAGTTTCAGAGCCTGTTTTTGCTGTGTTAACTGGACTGGAGTAATCATTGCCCAATGTGTGCATATATAAATGAACACATTGTACACCTCTAAAAATCATAGTCAACCTAAATAAATCCAATTTTAATCGTCAGTCACACCTCACTGTGATTGAAAACTGGGGTGGGGGGGAATTCTTTTAAGGCAAGAAAAGAAGAAAATAGAACCTGCTTTAGAGATTCCTTTTTCCCTTAGACTGCTGTCATGGTGGGCGCTAAGGAGTGCTGCCCAGAGAGGCCTTGGCCTTCTCAAACCAGCAGAGCTCTCAGACTGCAGAGGCAGATGCTGGCTGAGAAGATGTAGAGGTTTTTCTGATTTCTCTCTCATAGTCTTTTGAAGTCCATTTTCTTGACCTTCTCATCTGACTTTCATTTTTTCTCATTCGATGACGTTATGTTGAGTAGATTTTGACCCCAGCACCATGTGGTTTATTTTTGGAATCCAGTGGGTTATTCTCACCCAGGAAGGTTGGTTATTTTTAAGAGATTTTAGAAATAGTAGACTTAAATGAAGAGGGTTTTTACAAGATAGGTGTTTTGACAGAGTGTCAGTAATCCTCTTCTTTAAGGTAAAGACTAACAGACTAAAGATGATAGCTGGGACCACGGAAGAACTGATAAAATTACAGAGGGAAGTGATGGGTGTGTGGGGACACTTTTATAAAGTCACTGAAAAATTAGATATCTCTTGGAAGTGTAGGGGAGGAAAAAGAATCTCCCCCACCCTACTGAGTTCTTGACTGAGAGCTCTGTAGTGAAAGACAGACGGAGTAACAGGAGAAAAGCAAAGAGAAGTTTATTAACATGTGTGCCTCACGTGTACATGGGCACTACCCAGGAAAAAATGAGTAACTCCCTGATGTGGCTTAGAGTTCGGACTTAGATATTACCTTTTTTTCAAAACAAAGTTTAAACTGATTTTAGAGAGAGAGAAACATCGATTTGTTGTTGCATTCAGTATGCAAAAAGGAGTAGAAAGATGGTTTCTAAGGGGGAGGAAGCGGTTTTCGGGGAGACGGACGGGCCCCTAGGAGAGGAGACGGCGGGGAGTGATGGTCAGTGGCAGCGTCGGTCTGGGTGTGGCTTCCGGTGACGAGAGTCCACCTGCCCCGGGTCATGGAGCTCGGGGGGGGGGGGGGGGGCGGGCCGATGGCCCCTGAGCCAGCCGCTCTCGGAGGCCCGTGTCCGTGCAGGCGAGGGGTTCGGAGAAAGCCTCCCCGCGCACTGGCCGTGTAAGTGCCTGCAGCTCCAGATAGTATGTCAAAGTGGCTTATTTTGTGGGTGGTGTATTTTGCTACCCTTGAAGATTTTTGTCCAAATGTTTATAAAAATTATGATTACCCTTCCAGGGAATCAGCCTGTTCTAGTTTATCTTTTGTGTTCTGACTGTTTTGACTTTATCAAGAACTGGATCTTGTTCTTTACCTCAGAACTCATATTTTTAGATAAACTGTATCAGTGGAGTTTGGGAAGGCCTGAACAGAGTGTTTTCTGTTTATCACGGCATTGCATCTAGGAGGGAAGGCAGTCTCTCTTCCAGCCAGTGATGGTAATCCAGGGAGCCATCAGCCTCCTGTGGTCACAGCGCTCCCAGGGCACTTGCTGGGACTGATTATCTAACCTTTTTCAGACCCCACATCTTGTTAACCTCAACGAAGACCCGCTGATGTCGGAATGCCTGCTTTATTACATCAAAGATGGAATTACAAGGTATATTTGTATCTTTTGGTCACTTGATGCTTTCTTTTCTTTTAGATGATTAAATAAAGGGAAGTCAGTTGTTGAAAAATAATTGTTGTTGTGATTTGCTGTTTTTCCCATCTGAAATAGTTACAAACTATTCTCTCTTTCCAAATTATGTATTTTAGCCAGCTGAACCAGTTAACATGTAGTTTTTCCCCTAAAGGACCCTAAGTACAATTTTTTCCTTTTTACATATTAACGTGAATTCATTAGGGAGATTAGTTCACTTGAGTCTTTTTATAATGCTGTGTGAATTACATTGGTACATTATTTACATTGGTACATTATCGTTCCTTGGCTTCTTATTCTGATGTAGGGAAGTTGACCATGTATGAAAATAGAATCTACAGTTGAAAGCCTCTCATTTAAAAAAAAAAATGGTGATACCTTTTCTGTACATACCAAAGGATATTCTTTGGGAGAAAGAGATTCATTGTTTGTGGTGCCCTTTGTGTCTGAGTTTTCCTGGGAAACACTTCCCCTGTGTTCAGGGTCGGCCAAGCAGATGCTGAGCGGCGCCAGGACATCGTGCTGAGTGGGGCTCACATTAAAGAAGAGCATTGTATCTTCCGCAGTGAGAGAAGCAACAGTGGGGACGGTGAGAGTTCTTGGCTCGGCCTTTCCGACAACTTGTTACTCTGTATTAGGAGAAATCCACGAGACTTGGTATTCCCTTTTTCAGTGATACTTTCTTACACAGTCTAATATTTGAACACGGAGAAGCCTGGGCTGCTTGTAAATGCGGGGGCAGACAGAGCTGCTTTCCATGAAAATAACCTGAACAAAAGGAGGCTTTGTTGCTGCCAAGAACTAAGCAGAACATAGGCAATTAGGCTTGGTCTTGAATGTTAATTACTTGGTAGACAAGTAAGAAGGGAACACATATCCTGGGTAGTGGGAGATTTGAAGGACCTTTAGCCTTAACCCAGTAGAATTTATTTTTATCTAAAAAATGAAGAAAAAAGTCAATTTTGTACTTTGTCCAGGTTATTGACAAAATAATCTAATAGTATTTTATGCTATATAATTCATTCCTTCCTTGACTACAGTATTAGCTTTTGCTTTTAAGTTTCTAGCTATGACCTATATCTCACACTTAAAAGATTTCTGATGGTTTTCAGTTTTATAGACTGAACTGTCAGCTACCACCAAAACTGCCATTTCGTATCTTTTTCTGAAGTTTGTCAAATTCATTTAAATGTTTTATCTTAACCACAGCCCTAGTTATGGATCCTAAAGTAAACCGTTATGTAGATGCCCAGCCATTAGGTTGGTTACAGGGGTCTACTGTGAATCTTCATAGTCGTCAGCTTTCCGTGTTGTATTCCGGTGGTTTGTGGTGCTGACGTTACTTTGTGTTCCTCTTAGTTATCGTGACTCTAGAGCCCTGCGAACGCTCAGAAACCTACGTAAATGGCAAGAGGGTGGCCCAGCCTGTTCAGCTGCGCTCAGGTGAGACTGGGACAGCTTTGAAGTCTTTGGCAAAGATCGTACAGCTTGTGTGAGCAACTCTTTAACTTTTTAATCTTTGTTTAAAGACTAAAGCGATAGCATTAGGATTCATGTTCTTGTATAATTCCAAAAGCTGTCTTTTTGCATTAGAAAGAGTGAGGTCATTAATCTAGATACGCTACATTTTAAAAATATTTTCTTAACCCTGTTTCTCTTTTGTGCTAGGAAACCGTATCATCATGGGTAAAAACCATGTGTTTCGTTTTAATCACCCGGAACAAGCACGGGCTGAGCGGGAGAAGACTCCTTCTGCCGAGACTCCCTCCGAGCCTGTGGACTGGACATTTGCCCAGAGAGAGCTTCTGGAAAAACAAGGAATTGATATGAAACAGGAGATGGAGAAAAGGTAATGTACAAATATGATATGGCCCGCATGACCCACTTCTTTTAAACATATATAGTAGCATTTATGAAACAGCTTGGTGGTTTCACCATGCATTGTTTTTTCCCTCATAGGTTACAGGAAATGGAGATCCTGTACAAAAAGGAGAAGGAAGAAGCAGATCTTCTCTTGGAGCAGCAGAGACTGGTAGGAATCCATCCTGAATTTTCTCTTAGGAAAAGGGCAGCTTGTTCTCACACCTTCCGTCCCCACAGATGAGCACGTGTCCACACGGCCTGTCCATCTCTCACGATACTACACCCTCTTCTCTCATTTTCTTAATGGAGAACGAACTTGCAGCTCCTACTAGCCTTAGCCTGCAAAACTGTCCATAAAGGTGCTATTTTGTGCCTTTTATGTCTTAAAGTCAAATCTTCTGGCAAAACCAAGTGCTATAGGTGGGAGCTTTTCTGGTAGCCTTTGCCTCTTAATAGTGGTTTTTAAGTGTGCATCAGTGGTGGTTCTTTTAATAATAATCACTCTGCATATTGAACTTAGTGGGTGTTTGCCTTGGTTTTGTTTCTGATCACCTGATAGTACTAATTCTCTGCTCTTGGGCTGACCTGGGGGTTGTTCTTGTGCTGGGCAGACGTTTTTCTTTTTCTTCTCCTTTTCTTTTTTTGTTTTTTGTTTTTAAGTTAAACTGTCTACAAGTGTTACTGCACAGTTGCATGTGTTAATCCTTTTCTGTTCCCCTGCATGGAGTCTGCATCCTCAGCAAGGGTCCCCGTGGCGTTCGGGATGGCAGTGGAAGCAGGGGCTGTACAGCCAACTCAGATAAGAGAGGGCAGCCTGGTTTTTCCGGGTTCAGAAAGGGTTTGGGTGAGCAGCTAAAAGTCGGTCTAAGGCTACATCTTATAAAGCTAACAACCTTAGCATTTTATGGTGTTAATTAATTTTCCAAGTTTGGTAGAAAATGAATCTCATGAATAAATAAGTTGATCTGTTAGGTAGATTCTCCTTTTTAAAGCCGTCCAGTTTTGGTTAACAAAGCCCTGATTATAAGAAGCTTCTTGGCATCAATTTGATATGTAAGGAAAAGATAAAGCAAACCTTTAGGTGCTATGGGTGCAGTTTAGGAAATTTTCAATGTTTAAGATTCATGGGCTTCTTTTAAGATTAGTGTGTATTAGGAAGAAAGCTGGAATACTGGTTTCTTCCCTTGGCATAAAATACAGCACGTAAAACACTGCATGTAAACTACAGCCCTATAGCCGTGCTCTGCTCTGGAGAAGAGAGGCTATTGCTGCGTGGGCCAGAAGAGCCAAGGGCTTAAGGAGAGATAGCTTTTTCTAGGGTAACTCAGTTCTCAGGCTTGGCAGTAGGTTAACCAGTTCGCTTGTTATCTTGGAAATTATAATAAAGCCCCCAAAAAGAATGGATTGTAAGAATAAATCAAGTGTTTGGAGCAAGATAATAACAATGTTATATATAGAGTCTCTTTAGGAGGCCTAGCTGGCACTTAGGTTTTAATAAAAAGAGAAAGATTTAGCTACAGTGTGATTATGGGCTTAAAAGTTTTATGACACACAAAGGAACCTTTTATTTTAATAATGTAGTATGATCTAATAACATGCCTCTGATGGTCTGTGAGAGATCAAACGAGGACAGGTATAATTAAGCTGTATTTATGATTAACAGTAATGCCTTGTAATTGTATAGTGCTTTATAATTTACAAAAAGTTTTAACATCCATCATTTTTTATTCCTGAAACAACCCTCTTTAGTAGATATGTATATAAATAAAACGAGTAATACTTTTAAAATTTAATTTTCTTTTTTCATCATCATATACTCCCCTATACCCTCTTCCACCTTCATCCACCCTCCCCCCCATCCCACTAAAATGAGTAGTATTACCTGTAGTTTATATTCCCTCCAGCTGAGGAAACCAAGGCTAAAAATTGCTGTCTTGGCTACTCTTGAATGTTTATTAAGTCGCAGGTCTGCAGCTTAAACTTGAGTCTTCTGACTTGCTTCACTGCTCTGTTCAGTAGAGCAGTGCTCATCAGCCACCTGGGAGTCTTGTGAAAATGCAGGTGCTGATTCAGCAGGTCTGGGGTGGGACCTGGTTCTACACTTCTGACCAGCTCCCTGGGGATGCCCATGCTGCTGGTCCTGGGACCAACTGTTGAAAAACTTGGTGGGAAAGAATAGTGATGGCTGATGTTCTCCGTAACCAAGAATTGGGGATTAATCTGGGCTCTGAAGTAAGATGATGACCACTCACAAGAGAAAGTAATTGTCTCTAAGACATTCTAGTTTCCAGGGGACATACTTAGTCTGTAAGTAATCAGGTTCTGCTTGTCATTTGCTCTGTGCATCTCAAAGCAAGCTAGGATTTTAAGAGCAGATCCTTAAAGCAAGGAGATTGCTTTCCTGCCACCACTCCCACTCTGCATTCCATTTGAATTTCTTGTCCTCAAGAGGAATTGATTTCTAATGATTTTGCCTGGAGTATCTAGCTGTAACAATATTGAATAGGAAATGTATTTTTATGATCTTATATTGGTCAACCATGAGATATATTTTGAATGTGCCCCAGGAATAAATATTGAAAGTATACCAAAAAAGTATTATTCAGTAAATATTTTTAAATAGTTATTATATGTAATCACTTTTGCATAACGACAGCATTAAAAAACAGAGTTTTCTGTTATGATAGTTCCCCATATGCGTCACACTTGTTATGGTCTCTTATAGTCATGCCCTATTATGTACCTGGTCCTTTCTGTGCTTGCTTTTTACACACGTGTTTTGGGTATCTTCTCTCTCCTATTTGTATAAGCCTCTTGCAGAGTCTCTCCGGGAGGCCTCCTTTGCAATTGCTATTTAAGGAAAGCAGAAGGACCTTTTAGTGGATTGGCCAGACCTGAGTAGTCGTTTTAACCCTTTAATGAATGAATTCTAAATATCTTAATTTTTAAGATACAAGACAAGACATAAGATAGAATTTACATATTGGCAAGAAACTTCGCATACATCCCCGGCTGGTGTGGCTCGGGATTGAGCACTGGCCCGTACACCAAAAGGTCACCGGTTTGATTCCCCCTCAGGGCACACGTCTGGGTTGTGGTCTAGGTGCCCAGCTGGGGGCGTGCAAAAGGCAACCAGTTGATGTATCTCTCATGCATGCATCGATATTTCTCTCCCACTCTTTCTCCCTCCCTTCCCTTCTCTTTAAAAATAAATAAATAAATAAATAACAAATAAACAAATAAATTTAGCATACAGACTTTCTACTATGATGATCATTATGTGATGGGGCTATGTTTGAGCTATACGTAGGAAACATAGTCTATAGAGTGAAAATGATTATTTTAGAAAGAGAGGAAATTATAGCCACTTGATTTAATATGAGTTCTTTTGGATTTATATAGACCTTCTTATTTATTTTATGTTTTATTTTGGAGCTTAAGGACTTTTATCTTTCAATTAGGATATTAAAACAATGATTAGAATGCTTACTATACCCTAAATTAGATAGTATTCACTTTATCCTTAAGCAATTTTAAAAGAAAAAGGAGCCCAGAAAAGGAATTTTAGTTGTCACTTATGTAGGAAAAATCAGCGAGAGTTTGTGTTTTGTGAAACTCAGTTTCTGCATATTTGTAAGAAAACCTTTTTTAGGAGTCAGGTGTACTTTTTTCTCTAACAGTCATCTTTTTATCACTTAAAATGAGCCATTCTAATTTTTTAAACTAAAAAATAAAAAGGAAAAGAAGTAGTCTAGAATCTATAAAATTTAGCATTATCTGCTTTTTATTGCCAAATTTTCAAATAGGTGGGGGTCATAAATTGGTTTAGTACCCATTTACAGACCAATAGAAATAATGGAAACCAGTAGCAACAACTCAAAATTCAGGGGCCAAATTGTTATCATTGTTTAAGGTTATTTTTTTGTTGTTCCCTAGAAATTAACTGTACATGGGACTCTCTGGTATGAAAAGTAAGATACTATTTATCAGTTTTGATTTTAAAAAACTTTACTAGAGATCATTTTGGCGATTACAGCCAAGTAAAAGAGACTGTTAAGTAAGAAAATGTTCATTTACTAGGCTAGCTTGAACTTTCTAGTGAGTCGCGTCCTTTCTCAGGAACTTTTATTTTCTGAAGAGAAGTTCTTTCCTAAGCTCGTTCATCCTAGGGGATTGTAAATGCAACGTAGCCTTCGTTTAGATCCATGTTGTTAAGATTTGCCTGTGTTAGTTAAGAAAATTGGTTGTTATTGAGTAGGTTATTATCCAAAATCAGGCTGCTGCTTTAGGCCAAAGTAAAATGTTTCGAAAAAGAAGTAATGGTGCAAAAATAGCTAGAAAGAAGGTTAGGAAAAACACTTTAAAGTGGATCCATTTCACATCAACAGGAAAGTCGTCGTGTGTTATAGGAAGAGTTGTCAGCTATTCTCAAATAGCTGGAAGTTCCGTGGGTTTTTATAGGAAGCATCTCTAAGTTGTATTTATTAAAGTATTGGGGAATTTGAAATGGTGTTTAGTGAAAGTGCATTGTCCGGCTTAATTTTTGTTCTGGAAGTTTGTTTCTTAAAATTTTAGAGGTGAGGTATTTATTGACTTAAGTGTGAAAACATAATAGCAGACCCACTTTAAGGATCCTTTTATGCTTTCTTGTTCTCCGGATAACACCTCTAATCGTGTAAGTGAAATGGGTCGATGTAACATGACACGATAAAATAGCAAATCCAATATATACTCATAGAAAGACTAGTTTCAAAACCCTCTTTTCTACTAGAAAAACAATTTGGTTTATGGGAAGCTCGTGTGGTCTGCTAATAGAGATTCTTAGCATTTTTAACATCATCCCTGTTTGCTTCTTTTTCTACTTTCTCATCTTCTAACTTTTTTCTAGGGCTGCTCTTTTTAGTAAAGCTAAACAAAACGTGGCATCCTACAGCCTTACTAACCTTTGTTAATCCGCCTGCTCGTCACATCTTGTATGGCATCTGTGCTCACTCATGGGGAAAAGAGTTTCTGGAAGAAGCAACAGCAATAACCAAGGCAAATGTGGGGACGTGGCTGCATGGGTGTTAGCATGGATGGGGCGTAGATTTTACTTCATTCTCTCGAGATGGTGAAGATGTTATTTTATGCCCTTTCGTTGATAACTTCATATGACCTTAGAGTGAGACT